CTTGTCTGTTGTAAAGGGGTATATCAGAGAGGTTGATGGCTGATGTTGTAAAGTATGTCCAGAGAGAGCGCGGCCCAGCAGTTAAAGTTCATCAGTAACGCTTTGTAATGGTGTGTGTGGGGGGCAGAGAGAGATGGATAGTGTATTCTGAGGAGTTTCTTCACCTCAGCTGTGTGTGGGATTCTCCCCTTAACCCCTCATCAGTCATTTACACACACATACACGGATGCTGACTATGGCTAACAGTAAAGACTGTGTGTGTGTCTATGTGGGTAACCCACATCCTCTCACGCTCTTTGTCTCCCTGAACTCTCATCATTTTATTTTGTGTGTCTTTGTGTGTGTGTGTATTCATGAGAATTTACAAGTCAGCGCCCTGCTGTTAACTCTTTAAAAGTCCAACTCCGCAATGAAAATTCTCATTTACTCACCCTCAAGCTGTTCCAAACCTGTATGAATACTGTAAATTACTAAAAAGTGAATGTACTGGTAACTTCATACAGTAGCTATGTGAAATACAAACCAAAATTTAAGTCACTATTCAATGCCTCTGTATCTCTGATGCTCTCACAGCCAGTGGCAGCTTTATACACTGTGTGAGATCAACAGTACTGGGAGTGACTGGGGCAGTGGCTTTGATTCACATTTGATTAAGTTCATCAGTGGTGTGTGTACGTTAACAGTGATTGCTATTGATTCAGACTGAAGTTACACCTTTTCAGTATTTATTCGGCATTGTGAGATTTACTTGTATCTCTAGCGGCACACTGTACTGTATCCAAAAGAATCAATATCAGCACAATATAGTGCATCCTTTAAGGCCTCTCAGACAATTTAAACTATTATCTCTACTCATTAAAAACAGGTTTTGTGACTTGTGTATGTTACAATTCAACCTATATGTGAATAAAGGTAATCATAAATCTTTAGAAAACGTTCATGTTTTTCATGCTTTCTTTAGCAAACTGGCCTTTTCTGTAGCTATGATAATGAAGTGTGTAAAAGAACATAATAATGCCATTCAATGCAGAAACATACATTTCTTCTGTTGTGACGTTTCTCTAAGAGCCTGTTCTTGTCGGTAATTCTTCTATCGTGATGTTCAGCCAGGGATTAGACCAGCTCGTATGTTATTATTTTCTATTATGCTGCTGAATAGGCATGATGGAACATCCTCAGCCTTCTGCACATTTTCCACAGAGCTGTTATTGAACATCTAATTCACTCAGCGTTCAGTGTAGGCCCATCTGCTCCTGAACGCTGACTCACGCCGGAGCTGTCGTACAACGAGGTGCTGTCTACTTAATCGTTGCGCCTGTTGACAATCTCTTACTCTAAACGGCTATCAATGCTTTACCCGCTGGCTGTGCGAGAGGTTGCATTGACTTACCTGTCACATGTGGTTCAGATGAGGCTACCAGTCACAAACAGAGCACGTTAGGTAAGACCTCCTTCTGTGTAATGCTTCTGAAGTGTTGAAACGACATCTGTGCAATACCGCCGCATCCCATTATAGGTGCCTACCGCTGACATCACTTTCTGTGTAGGAAGCCCTACTGAGCAAGTTGCGGCTCAGAAACAAGCTTGAATGTAAATTATTTAGTTGCCTCCTTTGCTTTGTCAGTGAGGACTTTCACTATATTAAATTGGATACTTGAGTAGCATAAGAAAGTCAATGCCTTGTAGCAAAGTGTTTTGAAATGTGTAGAATTTGCATTTAGCCAACATCAGTGATAACTAACAAGTCGCAAACAGTGAATTACAAGTCTAAAAGTGTTGAACGTAGGGCAGGGTCATTATGAATCCCCCTCTTGTATTAGTGCTGATATTGATGTCCGCGTGCTACCGAGCGTGAGGTCATGCACTGCTGCTTTTCATTCTCCCCCTAATTCTAATGAAAGTGTTTAAAGCGCTCTGTGTGTGCGCACAGTCACAGGGATGTGGAGAGGAAAGCTGATTTAGCCCACCTTCCATCTCACTATCCTCTTCCGCTCGTCAGGATTTACTGTGATCGCAGACTGTGGCCATAATCCGCCACACGCAATGGAGAATAAGCCTCGTTATCGTGTGACTTATACTCTGTTTTGACCCACCGTCAATAGCCATATTCAATAGCCATGCTGCAAGTATGGATCTGTTCGAGATCTGTGAGCTGTGCAGAAAATAGACAGCAAAGTATACTTTAGCCATTCACAAAGGTGTTTTTTTTGTCAATCCCCTCTTAGAGCAGGTGTGGAGAGAAGTTTTCCACAAGACAAATATTAGATATGATGGTGAAATATAATGTTTTGGCGCACACACACACACACACACACACACACACACACACACACATACTGTATACACACACACACACACACACA